TTGAAAGGCATTTAAAACTCTGGAGAAGCTATAGTGCGCTTGGGAGGTTAATATGGTGATTATGAGGAGAATAATAGCTAAGGATTTAAAAATTCCCTGGAGTAGAGATTCCCAGGCGCCAAGATTTAATCAATTAAATATATCAATGAAAGAAGCATTGCCTACTTGATCAAAGATTGGTATCTGATCTTTAAGATCTTTTAAGTTTTTAAAAAATATATTTTTATTGATTTTTAGAGAAAGAGGAAGAGAGAGATAGAAACATCAATGAGAGAGAAACATCGATCAGCTGCTTCCTGCACATCCCCCACTGGGGATCGAGCCCGAAACTTGGGCGTGTGCCCTGACTGGGAATCGAACAGGTAACCTCTTGGTCCATGGGTCGATGCTCAACCACTGAGCCACACCAGCTGGGCTAGATCTTTTAAGTTTTGGGTAACAATTCTTGATTTATTAACATAAAAACAACTTTTTTTTTCTTACCAGTTATAGCACATGCACCTCCTTGTTGGGTGCTTAAGGTGTCTAAGGTTATGAAGTTGTCCAATATAACTCTGGCCAAAGAGTTTATAGATTCTTGCTGTAATTGTTGATATTGGACAGAGGATAAGGTCTCTCCTAATGAGGTTTAAGTGCAGCCGTTTGTTGATATCCTTTCCAATAAACTCCTTAGGTTCTAATGTGTGTAGCACATTGTCTTCTTTTGGAAGGGAATCACAGAAAGCTTTTTGGACCTGGTGGAAATAAGCCTTTCAATATTGCATTAGTGCCTTACTGTATTGAACTATGTCGTGATTACTTAGGACAGGATAAACATGAGGATGTCTTATTTCAGGAGTCAGTGTTATAGGTAAGTTTCCACCAAGTTAGGCCTTTATATGATATAAGCTATCAGGTATTTAATAAGAGGCATTTCTCTGGAATAGAAAAAGACAAAGAATCATAGTTGGAACAGTTATAAACTCAGCTTCTGCGTCTAGAGAGCAGCCAGTCGAGAACATTTCTGGAGTTGAACTTAAATGTTTATGAGGGTGGCAGTTTTAATCTGATGGATTTTCCTGACATGCGGTTTGAATGTCTTCAATGGTATCATCAGGTGTCTGGTGAGCTTTCTAAGTGGCCCACACAGAAGTAGGTATGAATATTGTCTACACATGATCTCTGTGGTCTCAGCTCCACCATTATAGTGTGAAAGCAGCTATGGACAATATATAAATGCCTGGAGATGGCTGTGTCCCAAGAAAACTATTTACAAAAGCAGGCAATAGGCTGGACTTGGCTGATGGGCCATAGTTTTCTAACCTCTGGTCTAAGGTAAAGGTAACAGCTTTCATTCACATATTGTGCTGATCAATCCATACTGCAGCCTGTCTTCCAAAGCTCAGATTCAGCTGGACAGCTACTGATACCAAGTGCATACCATCAGCTTTCAACTGAGCTGAACCATCAGTGAACTAGGCCCATACATCTAGGGAAACTTCTGTGAATCAAGGGCCCGATTGAGCCAGTGGCTTTGCTTCAGGTGGTCTGAGTGGCAGATAAACTGTCCCCAAAGCTGTCACTTTTCCATACAAAACAACAATCTCTCTAGAGACAGGCTGTGATTTTTTTTAACTCTAGTTGACATATATCATATTTGTCTCAGGTGTACAACATAGTGACTAAACATCCGTATATCATACAAAGCGACCACCATGATAAATCTAGTAACCATCGGTCACTGTACAAAGTTATTACTATAGTATTGACTGTATTCTCTATGCTGTACATTACATCCCTGTGACATTTATTTTATAACTGGAAGTTTGTACCTCTCAATCCCCTTCAACATTTTGCCCTTTCCCTCTGGTAACTATCAATTCTCTATATCTCTAAGTCTGTTTCTGTTTTGTTTAGTTTGTTCATTTTTTGTTTTTTAGATTCTACATATAAGTGAAATCATATAGTATTTGTCCTTCTCTGTCTGACTTATTTCACTTAGCATGATACCCTCTAGGTCTATCCATGTTGTCGCATGGCTGAGTAATATTACATTGTGTATATATATGTGCCATATCTTCTTTATCCATTTATCTCTCAGTGGGCACATAGGTTGCTTCCATATCTTAGCTGTTGTAAATAATGCTGCAATGAACATAGCGGTGCATATATCTTTTCAAAATAGTGTTACTGTTTTGTTTTTTTTTATAAATACCCACAAATAAAATTGCTGGGTTGTATAGTAGTTCTACTTTAAAATTTTTTAGGGCATTCCATAGTGTTTTTCATAGTGGCTGTACCAGTTTATCAACTTGAATATACCATTTCTATATGATCAGCAAGGCCTTTGGGTCCTTTTCTTATAAAAACTTATAAGAATCTGACCCATGCCAAAATAAGGATATCAGGCTACAGTCAATCACAAGGTCTCATGCTCAGGCATTCAGTTTCAGCAAGAGCTTATTAGCAGGTTAATACCTGCTTTTAAAAAAAAAAGAGCCCCGTCCAGTTTGGCTCAGCGGTTAGAGCGTTGGCCTGTGGACCAGAGTTGTGGGTTCAGTTCCAGTCACTGACATGTACCTTTGTTGCAGTTCAGTCCCCGGCCCTGGTCAGGGTCATGTGGGAGGCAACCAATTGATGTGTCTCTCTCACATCAATGTTTCTCTCTCTCTCCCTCCCTCCCACTCTATCTGAAGATTTTAAAAAAAGAGAGAGAGTATGTGGTGGCCACTGTATCAGCAGATAGTAAATGTTGTACAGGTATACCTCATTTTATTGCACTTTGCTTTATAGTGCTTTGCAATTTTTACAAATCAAAGGTTTGTGCCAACCCTGGGTCAAGCAATTCTATCGGTGCCATTTTTCCAACAGCATTTTCTCACTTTGTGTTTCTGTGTCACATTTTATTCATTCTCACAATATTACAAACTTTATTATTATTATTATTATTATTATTATATTTTTTATGGTGATCTGTGATCAGTGATGTTTGATGTTACCATTGTAATTTGTTTAGGGTGCCACAAACCACATTCATTTAAGAAGGCAAATTTAATTGATAAATGTATATGGTCTGTCTTCACCAACTGGCCATTCCCCATCTCTTTCCCTCTCCTTGGTCCTCCCTGTTTCTTGAGACCCAACAGTATTGACATTAGGCCAATTAAAAACCCTACAATGGCCTTTAAGTGTTGAAGTGAAAGGAAGAGTCACATGTCTCACTTTAAATCAACAGCTAGAAATGATTAAGCTTAGTGAGGAAGGCATGTCAAAAAACAAAATAGGACAAAGGCTGGGTCTGTTGCTCCAAAGAGCCAAGTTGTGAATCCAAAGGTAAAGTTCTTTAATAAAATTTAAAGTGCTACTCCAGTGAGTGAAACAGCCTTATTGCCAATCTGGAGAAAGTTTTAGTTGTCTGGATAGAAGATCAAACCAGCCACAAGATTCCCCTATGCCAAAGTCTAATCCAGAGCAAGGCTCTAACTCTTCAATTCTCTGAAGGCTGAGAGAGGTTAGAAACCTGCAGAAGAAATGTTTGAAGCTAGCAGAAGTTTGGTCATGAGGTTTAAGTGTAGAAGCCAAATCCATAACGTAAAAATGCAAGGTAAAGCAGCAAGTACTTACGTGAAAGCTACAGCAAGTTGTCCAGAAAATCTAGCTAAGATCATTAATAAAGGTGGTGACACTAAACAACAGGTTTACAATGTAGACAAAACAGTTTCTATTTTTTATCCTCGTCCGAGGACATTTTTTTTTCCATTTTTTGTTCAGATAGAGTGGGAGGGAGAGAGAGAGAGAGAAACATCGATGTGAAAGGGACACATCGAGTAGTTGCTACCCGCACGACCCAACCGGGGACAAACTGCAACTGAGGTACATGCCCTTAGCGGGAACTGAACCTGGGTCTCTCTGGACCGCAGGCCGACGCTCTAACCGCTGAGCCAAACCGGCCAGGGCCAAAACAGCTTCTATTGAAGAAGATGCCATCTAGGACTTTTATAGCTACAGAGGAAAAGGCAGTGCCTGGCTTCAATGCTTCAATGGACAGGCTGACTCTCTTATTTGGGGCTAATGTAACTGGTGACTCCAAGTTGTTTTCATGCCTGCTAACACAACATCCATTCTGCAGCCCAAGGGTCAGGAGTAATTTCGACTCTCAGGTCTTACTGTTTAAGAAATACATTCTATAAGACTATAGCTGCCATGGATAGTGATGAAAGATTATAGTGATGGATATGGGCAAAGTGAATTGAAAAACCTTCTGGAAAAGATTCACCATTCTGGATGTCATTCATGATTTGTGTGAAGAAGTCAAAATATCAACATTAACAGGAGTTTGGAAGAAGGTAATGGATGACTTCAAAGGGTTTGAGACTTCAGTGGAGGAAGTAACTGCAGATGGGATGGAAATAGCAAGAGGACTGGAATTTTAAGTGGAGCCTGAAAATGTGACTAAATTGTTGCAATCTCAATAAAAAACTTCAGTGGATGAGGATTTGCTTCTTGTGGATGAACAAAGACTGTTTTTTTGAGATGGAATTGACTCCTGGTAAAGATGCTGTGAAGATTGTTGAAATGACAGTGAAGGATTTAGAATACTACATAAACCCAGTTGGTAAAGCAGCAAGAAGGGCTGAAAGGATTGACTCCAATTTTTTTTAAAAAATTGTTTTTCTTTATTGATTTTAGAGAGAGAGGAAGGGAGAGAGAGAGAGAGAGAGAAAGAAACATTGATGAGAGAGAACATCACTTGGCCGCCTTCTGCGTGCCCCCTACTGGGCATCAGGCCCACAACCTGGGCATGTGCTCTGACTGGGAATCAGACTGGTGACCTCTTGGTACATGAGTGGACACTCATCACTGAGCCACACCAGCCGGGCTTTTACTCCAATTTTAAAGGAAGTTTTACAGTGGGTAAAATTCTATCAAATAGTATCACATGCTACAGAGAAATTGTTCATGAAAGGAAGAGTCGATCAATGTGGCAAGCTTCACTGTTTTCTTATTTTAAGAAATTGCCTGTACTTGCTTCGGCAGCACATATACCAAAATTGGAAGGAAACATAAAACATTAGCTTGACCACTGTGTGAGGATGACATGCATATTTGTGAAGTGTTCCATATTTTAAAAGAAAGAAATTGCCACAGCCACCCCAGTCTTCAGTGACCACCACCCTGATAGGTCAGCAGCCATTAACATCAAGGCAAAACCCTCCACCAGAAAAAAACAAACAAAAAAAACACTACAATCCACTGAAGGCTCAGATGATGGTGAGCATTTTTTTAGCAATAAAGTATTTTCATATTAAGGTATGTACATTTTTAGACATGTTATTGCGCACTAAACAAACTGCAATATAGTGTAAACAACTTTTATATGCACTGGGAAACCAACAAAATTCTTGTGTCTCACTTAATTGCAATATTGGTCGTATCGTGGTGGTCTGGACCTGAACCCTCAATATCTCCAAGGTATGCCTGTACTTGATAAAGGCATATCTGAATACCCTGGCAGTTTCGAAGTCTTTAAAGCTGTGAGTTCTCTTTCTCTTGGGATTCTATATTGATTCTGCTGGATGCCTCAGGAGGGGACAGAGAGCTTTGCTAGGAAGTTAGTTACATTTTCCATATTACCTTTCTACATGTGGCTGTTCTAAACAAGAGAATCAGCTCTGATACTCATGGACTAGGGACATATAACCATGTAACTCAATATCAATTATACATTCAGATCCAAAGGGCTCCATCCATAAGATCACTTTAGTTTCTCTTCCTCACTGAGAACTTGACTCAAACTCCACCAGTTGAAATAGGGTGCCTTTTCCCTCTAACGTTTCAGAGACCAGAAGCTTAATGTGTGTATACATTGTGAATTACACCAACAGTCAACAGGAGACTGTGTTATTCCCTAGCTACCAGAATGGGGAATGCGGAGAGGTGGGAGAGGCTAGCTCATAGGGAATCTTGGGAGTGGCAAGGATGCTCTTCTCTTGACTCCCTTCTCCAGTATTGGTGCCTGAGCATAGGCACTGCTTCTTCCTCTGGGTACCTCCTTGTGATCATTCCAGCTCAGAGGTTCCTTTCTTTCTGCCCCAGTGCACACCACTGCATTTTACCTTATAGTCCTTGGTAATGTTGACCACCTTTATGCTCAGCATGCCATCGTCCTCACCAATCACATTGGACTGTGGTGAGAGCAAGATACATGAGCAGCTGGCTTTGCACTGTTAGGCAAGGATTTATTACTCACTTTTGTGTTGAGGGGTTTTCCCTGTGGCTCAACAAAATGAACATCTAATGGTTTTGATTCACCCAAATCTGTCAAATAGCAAGGTCCTCACTACTGATACTATTTATTTCAGCATTAGGGTTTAATTGCCTCAGAAGCCACAATAATACTGCCTTTTAACCGAAGCCACATGGTTTGCTACCCTATTTGTCTAAAAACATCCCTTCCTCCTCCCATATAGAGGAGAGTGAGCAATAACCAGAACACCATTCAGGTGGCTTGTTTCAATCCTACTTCTCATTACTCAGCATCATCAACAGATGGAACAGTAGAGCACTCATTCCTTTCCCCTTCACCCACCAACTGGGTGAGAGCATTTACTTACCAACCTCGGGAAGTCTTCTCATATCCCCAGACCTGCCCCACAGAACCTTTGCCCTTCCTCTTCCATAAAGCCATGCTTCAGTCAGCATCCAATTCTCATTACCAAACTGTCAGATCTAGGATTTTATTTTACTTTACTTACACACTAACAGATTAGACTGCTACTGTTTTCATGGATGCTGGCAGAAGACACAAGACTTCTGTGCTAGAGACAAAGGACTTTGTTACTCACAGTACTGCAAACAGCATGAGCATTAACATGTTTTCCTCAGTTCCCCTTCTTCCCCAAATGCCATGAGGGTGACACAGAGGGCTCAATAGAAGCCTGCATATATCTGTGGGTGCATTACAGGGGAGGAACACAAAGCTTGGGTAATATACTGTTTTATAGCAAATGATAAGCATACTTGTCCTTTGTCCTGAAGGAAGACAACTGATCTCTCAGAATTGCTAGTTGCAAATATAGCCAACCTGAGAAATGGCCCAAATAAAGAGCAGTAAGGACCTTGTGCTTTGGGCATACTCCTAGAAGTGTAAAAGACCTGTGACCAACAGGCAGAAGTTGGGATCTTACCTCAATTTTTAACACAACAATTTGATATGGTTTTAAAAATACACATCTCTCTCTCTCTCTTTCTCTCTCTCTCTCACACACATACACGCACACACACACCACCCTTTCCAAAAAATTTTTTTGAATCCAATAGGATGGAAGGACTTTATACTCAAAAGTAAGCAAACTTAGTTTGGCCAGTCTGCCTCAGTTGGTTGAGCGTTGACCCACGCACCAGGAGGTCGCCGGTTCAGTTCCTGGTCAGGGCACATGCCCAGGTTTCAGGCTCAATTCCCCAATAGGGGGGTTGCATGAAGTGGTCAATCAATGTTTCTCTCTCATTGATATTTCTATCTCCCCGTCTTCCCTTCCTCTCTCTGAAATCAATAAAAACATATTTTTTAAAAAGTAAGCAAACTTAAAATGACTAAATCATTTGAAAAGTTAGAAACCAAGTAAGTATTTGAAGTATTTGAATAGTATTTCCTATTCATGGGATCCAGATATTTGTTAAATGGATGGTGGAGATTGATGAGATTTGGAAGAATTACAAAATGGCAGAATGAGGAAGCTCCATGGACCTGCTCTCCACTAAAGCATGAAGTTATAAAACAAAAACAACCACTTCAACTCTCTGGAAATCCTCCTAAGGATATGCAGCAAATAAAGAAACAGTCATTCAAAATAATCTATTAAAACTCAGAACAAGAGTCTGTGGCATTTCAACTATACCTGCTCCCTCCTTGCACTACCACCCCAGCTCAGCTTGACTGGAAGTTTCACTCCAGGTGAGTGTAGCCAAGATGAGGGGGCTACCTCTCCTCCAAGCTCCCAGTTGAGGGCTTCAATGTCTTCTTGGGAAGGGCAGGATGCCAATGTTTGTCATCATCTCCCTCCCCAGATACTTCTTCCCAGGCTAAATTATAGTTGAGTATGACTAAGAGGTTGGGGGATTACTACTTCCAGCTACCTCCATTCATAGGGCAGAGGCTTATCAGCATGTGTGCTGAGTATACTGGGGTCTCAGTCTCCCTCATCCAAGCTCATTCATGGGTAGAGTTTCCATCCTGGAAGAGGCAAACCAAAAAAACCAGAGGTTGCCGCTCCTAAATCAGGGGTGTCACTCAGAGAACATAATTTTTCCTACTCCCAGCTCTGAAATTGTGGCTCAGAGCTTTTTTCCCAGGGGAAGAGGCAGGCTGCAAAACAAAGAATACCAAAGCTTTCAAGAAACCGACTATTTGAAATAGAGGGTGGGTGGAGTTGAAGTCTAAGGGCACTCTCAAAGACAATGGAATTTTGGTATTAAGTAATTACAAACAGGCTGATAGCTTCAAGTGAGACACAAGCTAAAGGTAGGTAAGCAAGCTTATTAGAGAAAACCTAGGAAAGAGACATCTTAGAAGAGTCTGCCTGAGATCAGAACAAACCTTAGAAACTAACACCTCAAAGGAGTTCAAAGTGAATTGGATGACATTGTGGAGCAATTTATACTCCCAGGCATTGTTGAAAACATTAGAACAATCAATCTGCAATGAGTGAAGGCTTACAACTGGGTATGATACTTATAAGGCTTAACAGAATAATGAAAGAAAGAGATAGTCAAAGACTGCCCTACTAAAATCACAGTCATCCCAAGGTGACAATACTTATATCCAGGGCTGTGCCTTTACAACACAGGAATCTTATATAAAACCCCTTGTGCAAAAGAAGAGTTAATAGTCAAAATATACAAAGCATGTAAGGGGGAAAAAAAATAGCATAAAAGAGACAACAGAAAATAGGAGAATTGATATATTAGGAACTACAGATAATAAAACAATTTGAAAGATATTTTAAAACAAATATATAGGAAGTGTTCAAAAACAAAGGAACACTTATTCAGGGAAGAATACAAATAAAATAATATATATTTTTTAAAAATTAGAAGCCCTAGGAAAGAAAAATATTATCATTGAAATCATATAAATTCCCTTGTATGTTTCATAATGAATCATAGATTGGACTTTGACATATCTTGTTTATCTAAAATAAGACCAAGTGGTCCCCCCCCCTTTTTTAAATATGTTTTTATTGATTTTTTAGAGAGAGGAAGGGAGAGAGAGAGAGAAACATCAAACTGAGAGAGAAACTTCAAACGGCTGCCTCCTGTACGCCCCCTACTGGGGATCAAGCCCACAACCCGGGCATGTGCCCTGACTGGGAGTGAAACCAGGATTTCTCAGTTAATGGGCCTGAGCTCGATCCACTGAGCCACACCGGCTGGGCTACTAGTTCCCCTTTATTTTATACTTATTCATAGTTAGTATTTTATACTTACTCAGCTGGGACCCTGGGGGTATTATTGGGTCATACTACAGGCCAACTATTGATAATAGCCTTAATTAAATGCTTTAAGAGACAAATTGAAGATTTGGTTTCAGCTGCTCTTGGTCAAATTAATTTAAGTAGCCGACAGAGTGATACACTTACATAAATATTTGAGTTTAGCCAAGAACATGTTGGGATGGATAGTTGAGACAGGCAATCTTCCATGGACCTGCAGATTCCTTCTGGGTATGCCAAGAATGCAGAGCCCCACTTACTCTTTCCCCAGGCCATTTCTCAAGGTTGTGTTTGTAGCAAGTAACCTTAAGGGTGTAATACTGTCTCCTTCCAAAAAAGAGCAGCTTGCTTCAGTTTGCTGTAAAAGTGGTGAATCCCCAAGCTCATTGTTCCTCTCCTTTAATACAATGCACTGCATGGGCAAGCATCCATCTGAGCCCACTGACATTACACTGTAGGACTTGGAGGGCATGGGGAACCAACCTAAACATGAAGCTCTGCATACTGTTCTCATCATTAGTAATAAAGTTCTTTTTCTCTGCTCCAGCAATCTCATGTCTTCTACCAGCAATCATGAAATGGTACTAGGCTAATTTTTCAGCCTATAAGTAGGATAAACTCTCTGAGTCTGCACATT